GGTTTAGTGGTTTAGGGTTTAGGGCGGCTGCGGTTTTTATAGGGTTTCATATAATCGTTTGGGCTTCCGAGTTTGGGCGTTTGCGCATGTTCTCTGAGCAGGCTCGGTGCTTGACCTTCCAGTCTACACCTGTATTCTATCAAGGTTCACCCTAAGGGTCCAAAGGGCCTAATAATCATGTACTTGGGTTACGGATAGTAGTTTTGTAGGTTAGTATTCAGGAGAGTATATGATGATTAGGTACTTGGACCCTTAGGGTCAGGGTTCTGAAACCCGCGTTTTCCTGGCGGAGGACTCTTAAGCTCTTCGCGGTTGATCAAGCATCTGGGGTAGAGCAAGCTGCTGCACGACCAGTTCCTAGCGACAAGTCTTTCCCGATTTTGTTTGGGGGTTTAGGGTTCAGGGTAGTATAAACCTTTTATCAGCCTGCAAACAAGTAGGTTTGGGTAGGTAAAGGAACCCTAAGCTCTAAGCCCTAAACCCTAAACCTTAAACCCTAAAAACCCTAAACCCTAAACCCTTGACGCCCTAGACCTTCCTAAAGCCGCGGGCCAGGACAGCTGCGCGCCGGTGCTCAAGGCTTTGGCCACCTCCGAGGCAGGCTTCTTTGGCTGATTGCTAGGTTGTGGGGTTTGGACAGGCATCACCAGCTTTAGTTTAGGGTCTAGGGTTTAGGGGTTTAGGGTTTGGGGTTGGGGTTTAGCGTGATTCTTTAAACGGTTCCGTATAGGCTTGTTATGGAGTCTGATGAGGATGCAGTGATTTAGGGTTTGAGCGGTGTGTCCTATAACACAACGGCAGGGCTACTGCAGGGCTTTGCATGGGTAACACCATTCACCTCGAACCCTAAACCTAAACCCTAAACCCTAAACCCTAATCCCTAAACCCTAAACCATTGATTGAGAGCGGTCGCATTTTTGGATTCTCGGGTGTGTGTATGTTCAGGGGCTTCCTTGTGGGGACTTCCGAAATAGAAGTTTCCAAAAATAGGGGACCCTAATATAGTACCCTAAATAATAGGTTCCTTATTATAAGGACCCCCAAATAAGGTACCCCAATTTTCGGAAACCCCCAAAT